TTTTACTATCTACTACCTACCATCTCCATGAATTCTCTACATAGACAGACAGGTTGCTTAACCTGTCTGAGCCTCTGGCTTTCTATCTCACACACACACTCACACACACACACACTCACACAAACACACACACACACACTACTAAGACTACTGGCTAGGTAATGGAAGAAGAGGAAACATCCTGGCCCACAAGACTCTATTCTAAAACCCAGAGATGGCTGCATCCTGGCCCAACTGTTAAGATAATGGCCCCAGATCCTTAGGGAGCACAGGCCTCTGACCAAGGTCAGACATTGGACTTGGGGGCAGAAGGACTAATATGTCTACCCATTGGCAGAGCTAAATGAAAAAGGCTGAGAGAATAAGCCAGGAGCTGGGGCTCAAGGAATTTGCAAGGTGGAGATAGGGGATTGTGGTTCTAGGCCAACCAGGAGGGAAAAGATATTTGAGAGACTCCATGGCTGGGTGCAGTGGCATGAACCTGTCATCCCCAGCAATACAGGGAGTACAAGTAGGAGGAGCACAGTCCAGGCTGGCCAGGCATAAAGCAAAACCCTTCCCTGAAAACAACCAATGGAAAAAGGGGCTGGAGGCATGGCTCAAGTGCCTAGCAAGCAGTTTAAACTCTAGTATGAGGGGGGGAGAGGAAAGGGGGAGAGAGGGAGAAGGAAAGGGAGAGAGAGAGAGAGGGAAAAGGAGAGAAAGAGAGAGAGGGAGAGAGAGGAAGAGGAAGAGGGAGAGAGGGAGAGAGAGAGAGAGGGAGAGAGAGGGAGAGGGAGAGAGAGGGAGAGGGAAAGGGAGAGAAAAAGAGGAAGGGAGAGGGAGAGGAAGGGAGAGGGAGAGGGAGAGGGAGAGGGAGAGGGAGAGGGAGAGGGAGAGGGAGAGGGAGAGAAAGACAGAGAAAGGCAGAGAGAGATGTTCAGCTAGATGTCTCCCCACACCTAAGCAGTCATTACACAATCATCAAAGCATTTGGGAGGGGCCTCAAAGAGGTTAGTTCCATGCCTTGTAACCCCACCCAAAACTGGATAAAATCCCAAGCCCCAGCAGCTTGCAGTCAGTGAGTCCTTATCCAACTGTCTAGCTTTCCCCAATGGGCACTTGTGCTAACCAGTCACTCACACTATCTTTCCACTCTTCATGGTTCTTTCCCCCATGCCAAGGACAGAATCCCAACCCTAGCCATTTGCATCCAAGAACCAAGAAACATCTACAAAATCCCACCCACCCCTAGCAGCCCTGCCCCACAGGCAGAAGTCAGTAGGCCAGAAAACCACAGCCTACAGCTCATCTACAGCTCACCCGCCTGTCTTTCATGTCAAGTCTTCCTTGTTGATGCTGTAATGGTTTTGCCACTGGGCTGACTCAGGCCTGTGGTGGGTTTGTTTGAGGTCCTCATTCCAGAGAATAGAGCCCACAAGACAAGCAGGATATGTTGTAACCCATCCTCCAATCTGTTCCAGGCAGGAAGAAATGAGCCTGAGATGGAAAGCGGTCACAAAACATTCTCACTGGCCAAATTCCCCACCAAATGACATCCATCCCAGGGAAATACTAAAAGGAATGGGAAGGGACAAACACGCAGACCCTCAGCTACTGAGGGCAGCTGGCAGTGAGAAACAAACCCCTTTGCCTCTCCCTCCTTTCCTGTGAGTGGCCCTTAGGACACACGATGAGCAGCATCTTGCTAGGAAGTCAGGAAGACTGGGGGAAAGTGGGGACAACAATGAGGAATGAGGCAAAGAAAAATGGCCCACAGAATGTAGAAATACCCCAGCATGCCTGCTTCTCAAGCCTGGCACATGAATCCAGGGGTGACAGGTCTCTCATCTCTGATGCCAAGAGCCAGGAGCTGTGGGCAGCAGCAGGTACTACATCCGCACCTGCCAGCTCTTAGAAAGAGGCAATAAAGCATCATAGCAGGGCCTGGAATGCTAAGTGCCTGCAGCTGGGAAGGGATGGTCCTTACAGAGGCTCTCTAGCAAACAGAGTGGTTGTGCACTTGCTCACCCTCCCAGGTGCCTGGGCCCGGGGGCAGGGCTGGGCCAGAGGGAGGTGGGACAGGTGCACAAACAACCCAGCTCTGCCAGCCAGGGGCCTTTGAAGCTGGGATGCTAGAGTCAGCAGTACCTAAAAGTGGACCTCAGGGCAACCCAGCTAAGCCAGTTCTGCTTGAAATAGAACCAGGCCACACAAAGCTCAGACATGTGGCCATCTTCCCAGTAATGACCGAGGCACTGAGGTTTATACAACACCTGCAGTAGTGTGCCAAGCCTGGTCTCTCCTCCAGGCTTGGGACACATCATTGTAACAAGCCTAAGAATCAGAGGTGGCACCTACCTTTACATACTCAGAAAATGAGGCAGTTGGGAGGAGGCAGATTCCAGAGCCAACAGGTAGGATCTGGTTCCCGAACCTATGCTCTGGCCAGAGCTCCTTGAAGCCCATTGTGCCCATCAGTCACCTGGGAACTTAGGCACCCTGTCTCGGGTCTGAGTTGGGCCAAGTTCCTACCAGCAAGTTCCTGGATTGCCATGGCCCCAGGACCGCACCTGGAGCAGCAAAGCTCTAGACTACTATGCTCCTACTACTGTGTTGGGCTCATCCTGGGATGGGGTGGCTTGGGAAAGCCCGGAGAGGTGGATGGAGACCCTCATTCATCCTGGCAGAACTTTTGCCTACAGCATGTCTCTTTAAATCCACAGACACCAGCAGCCTCTGTCTTGGGGACCAGTCTACTGTCCTCGAGGTTCCCTTCCCCTGCATAGACTGGGTATGGCTTCTGGGGCCCCCAAGGCTTCCTATATTGACAGGAAGAACTAAGAAGGGTAAACTTAAACCAGCAATGGCACTTAGAGGTGGCATCTTTTGGGGTGATTAGGGTTAAGTAAGGTCATAAAGGCAGAGTCTCAGGATAGAATCCTGATAGCTTTATAAGACAAGAAGAGAAGACTCACATACTGTGTGTTCACTGTCTATCATCATATGATATACCATGTACTTCAGGACTCTTGTCAGCAAGAAAGCCATCGCCAGATATGGCATCTTGACCTTGAACCTCCAGAATCATGAGGCAAACTAAATTTTCTTTCTTCATAACTTACCAGGGCTATGGTGCTTTGTTACTGCCACAGAATATAGACAAACACACCCTGTCTTCCCTAGCTAAACAACCTCCCGTATCAGCAGTGGTTCTTTGCCATAAATCTGCACTTAAAGAGTACATCTCAGAGGCCAGGCCTGGTGGCTCATGCCTGTGACCCTAGCTATTAAAGACGCAGATTCAGGAGGGCCTTAAGTTTGAGCCTAGCCCAGGGAAAGTAGTCAAGACTATTTCAAAAACAAAATATGGGGCTAGGAAGTTGGTCCAGAGGTAGAGTGCTTGCCTTGCATGCATGAAGCCCTGGGTTTGATTCCTCAGCACCACATAAACAGAAAAAAGCCAGAAGTGGCACTGTGGCTCAAGTGGTAGAGCGCTAACCTTGAGCTGAAGAGCTGAGGGACAGTGCTCAGGCCCAGAGTTCAGCCCCCATGACCAACAACAATAACAAAAAATATGAAACAAGATGGCTGGGTGGGGAGGAAGGGCATGTATAGCTCAAGTGCTAGAGTACTTGGCGAATAAGTCTAGGACTTATTTTTATCATTGCAACAATGATACTCACAAGACACTATGTTGGAAATGATCTTTACAACTTGGGTCGGGGAATGGGGGAGAAGGGAAGGAAGAGATAGTGGTGGGGGAGCAAAGGAGAGGGTAACAATGTTGGACAAGAAAGGTACTCATTACCTTACTCATGTAACTGTAACCCCTCTGTACAACATTTTTACAATAAAATTAAATTAAAAAATAATTCAAGGCTGAGGATGTAGCTCAGTGATAGCAGAGTATGTGCTTAACATATGTTTAATCTTGGATTCAAACCACAGCACCAAAGAAACTACATTTCCCAGCATTCATTGCAGCTAACATAGTCACATGGCTGAGTTTGACCAACACAATGTAAATAGATGCAAAGTTTTACCTCTAGGAGGTGGTCTTACAAGCCACAGACATTTCCTCCTTTCCTACTTCCTTCTTCCTATAGGCAGGAGTTCCAATAGTGATGTTTTTGTTGTTGTTGTTTGTTTGTTTTGCCAGTCCTGGGCCTTGAACTCAGGGCCTGGGCACTGTCCCTGAGAGTCTTCTGCTCAAGGCTAGCACTCTACCACTTGAATCACAGCTCTACTTTCGGCTTTTTCCGTTTATGTGGTGCTGAGGAATCGAACCCAGGGCCTCATGCATGGTAGGCAAGCACTATACCACTAGGCCACATCTCAGCCCCAATAGTGATGTTTTAAATTTTATTTATTGTTTGCTAGTACCAGGGGTTGAACTAAGAGCTTTTGTGCTTGCTCAGCTGGCATTCTACCACTTAAGCCACACCTCCAGCACTGCTTTTTACTGGTGATTTTGAGTCTCACAGATGTTTCTGTCTAGGCTGGCTTTGAGTCTCAATACTCCAGGTCTCAGCCTCCTAACTGGCTAGAAGTACACATGCAAGCCACTTGCCCATCTCCATTAACCATCTTGAACTCTGAGGTAACCTTGAACATGAGATTGACGCATGGGCTCCTGGTACTGTGGAGTGTCATACAAGTCTTAGGCTCACTGTCTATCTCTTGAGAAAAAAATGACCTTCCACTTTGTTTTAACTGCTACTCTTGGAATTATTTGTAACTCACACCGAACTTAGGGCTATTTGACACTGCTGGAAACAGAGATCTGATTCTTGGGTCCATCCCTCACTAAAGAGCATGCAATCTGAAGGCAGGAATTATATCTCTCCATCTCTATCTTTCTCTGCCATGGGAGGCCAGAGGCTTCAGCACACAATGCATGTCTAGGACCAAACAGAATTCTTTCTAATGTGCCCAAATGGCTCCCAACCCACATATTCTCTGCATGCCCCTGACCTCCCTGGAAGGTGCCCCACCCCACAGGAGAAGCACATTCTTACCAGGATGTCTGAGTCCTCAGGGTCCTTCCCTGAGGTCAGGCTGGAAGAGTTGCGGAACTTGAATGCCCAGTATTCCTTGGCAGTGATAAAGAAGTTCCATGGCAGAAGGCTTCCAATGCCCAGGCTGAAGAAGATCAAGTAGGTGCCATTGAATTTGTCCTCAGGCCTGGGCAGGCCGGGGGTATGGTGGTCCAGCAGCTTCTCTGGCAGAGTGTCCTGGCTGGCTTGGATCGAGCCACTTGCTAGTCTGTATGTAGAGTTGGAAGTATGATACATGGTGTCCTCGGAGCCCACAGCCACTGTGGAAACAGGGAGAGATGCAGAAAGACTCAGGATGGGGACAGATGGAGACTTACCTATCCTACAAAACAACTGTACCCAACGTGGGTCTTACATATGTATTCTCCAGAGCCTAACTGGAGAGCTATAGGTTTAAGTGTCAGACTTTAGGCAGGACAGGCAATCAGAATTCTGAGTGGCCTCAGAGGTCACTTAACCATGCAAGAACCACACAGGTAGCCACCAAGCAGGCTGGGTGTTAAACACTGCAGCATGGTGGGGCCTGTGGTAAGCAATCCAAAAAGGTATACCTGGTCTAAGGGCTTTCATGTTCCTATGCAGCCATCAAAACAGGAATTAAGACCCTGGTTGACCAAAAAACACTCTCCAAACTCTTCCTTTCTTATGGAAAAAACAGTATACAATGTACTATTTGTGAAGGTATATGCAGGAGAGAATACACATACATATATGAACTTGTACGTGCAAGAGGGGTCTTAGGAAGAATATAGAAAATTTAGGACTAGCAGTGTGGCTCAAGTGGCAGAGTACCTGCCTTCCTAACACAAAGTGCCACTGACGTGGTCAAACCCCAGTATTGCCAGAAAAAAAGGAAAGGTTTAACAGTGGTAGTCTCTAGAGTAGGCCATGGTCAAGGAGTGGGGGGGACAGGAACTTCATGGCTTACTTACTGGCTTTGAGCCTTTTGAATTTTGAATTATATGGGTTTATTACCTGCTCAAAAATAAAAAATAAGGCTTTCAAATTAAAAAAAAAAATTGATATAAATCCAAGGTGCCTAGAGCTGCTTCTAGTAAGCCAATCCATTCATTTGTGAAAAGACAGATCAATGTGCAGGTCACAGGTAGGTAATTGGCTAGGCCAAGGTTTACAGCTGCTGCCTGGGGACCCCATCTGTCCACCAGGTCCCACCTGGGTATGGCCAATTTATGGTGGCACCTAAGACCTGGAAAATTCTAGGCTACTAATAACTATTGCCCAAATAGCTATGGGCAAGTTAACCTGCTTCTGAGCCTCTATTTCTCTATCTATAATGCAGAGCGGCGGGGCTATACAACATGATGCTCGGCCACAACTGGTTGGACTTGTCAGCTGGCTGGCTGCAAGCTGGCAATCTACCTCTATATTCTAGATGGCACCACATGCAGTGGCTGTTTAACTGAGAACTATGGGGATGTGGAGTCCTTCCTCAGCAATTTCCTCCCAACAAGTAAATGATCAAACAGGCAGTGAAGCCTGACTCAGCACAGGGAGTATGAGGCCTTGACCTGCCTTGAGGGACCCTGGGTGCAGAATCTGAGAACAAGCACATTCCTTGTAATTAAGCAAGGCAGGAGCTATTGCTCCCTCCTGTAGATGGGAAGACTGAGGCTTTGGTGGCACATCCAAGCAAAGATTCTCATTTAGTAGCTTGAGCCAAGTCCAGTGCTCATGCAAGCTGTGTTCATACCTTTGCATCTGAACTTGACAACAACATACCATGCTAGGTAGTTACTCTACAATCAACTTCACAGAGGAGTGGTCCGAGGCTTGGAAAGGCTGAGTCACTTGTCCAAGGTCACATGGCTATCAGAAGACAACAGGAGTTGCATAGCTAAGCAGTTTGGGGCTCACACTGGCCTCATCCACTGTCTGCTGGTGCCAAGGGCAGACAGGCCCTCCTTCTTCCAGGCTTGGCAGCCAGGGAACTGTGAGCTCAGGCAAAGACAGTGTACAGCACCCTCATCAATACTTGCTGAATGAATGGGCTCTGTCCATCCAGAAGATTGCCCCCCCCCCACATGTCCCTGACTAACCTGTCCCCCAGAACATCCCATCAGCAAGTCTATTTTAAACTTCCTAGCCAACAGGCCCCTCCCCAGTCTTTTTCTTTTTCCTTTTGTTTTGCCTGCACTGGGACTTAAACTCAGGGGCTCTGTCCCTTAGGTTTTTCTCTTAAGGCTAATGCTCTTCCGCTTGAGCCACAGCTCCACTTTTAGTTTTTTGCTGGTTAGAGATAGAGTCTCACAGACTTTCCTGTTGGGGCTGGATCCTCAGTCCAGAAGTAGCTAGGATTAGAGGCTTGAGTCACAGACACCTGGCGTGTCTCTCAGTCTTGATTAGCTTTAACCACGCCCCCACACTTCAAACTGGAGCTAAAAATGGGTAAAAAACAATCGATCCGTAGAGGACACCACAGCACTAGCAAGTGAGGGTTCCCAGATGTCCTGGCTCCCTGGTGGGGGCGGGGGCGAGGGCCCATCCCCGTTCCTCCACCAATTTGCTGAAGACCGGTCAACCTTGACTAAGCTTCTGAAAGCGACAGGAATCTCCTTCAACCCGGGTCACAGGCCAGGGCACTGGAGTGAGCCAAGTCTTATTACTCTTTATCAAAGCTGGCTGTTAGCTTCGGATTAATACAGAAAGACTAAGAAAAGAGAAGAGGCAGCCGGGCCCGCCCCTACCTGAGGGCTCAGAGAGCGGGGCGACCTTCCACAGCGGGGCAGACCTAGGAGTAGAGGTGCTGCAGACCCCCTTGGGGGCCTCCCAGGAAACGCCCTACGGTCCTGGGTGTCCCTGTGTCCTCGGGGGAACATGGGAGGGAGTGGTCTGGGGGCTTCAAAGCTAAGGGGTGCGGCAGTGCACTCCCCAGCCACAGACGCCCCTCCCGTTTAGACGCACACCCCTGCGCTGGCTGGATGGGGGAGGAAGCGCTGTCTACACCAAGGCCTCCCCCTCCAGTGGGAGAGGAGAGGTAGGGGGAAAGAGGAGGAGGAAAGGGAGAGGAAGAACGGGGGAGGGGAGGGGAGAGGAGGGCCAGGAAGAGCAGGACGGCGGGAATCTGCCCAGAGAAAGTGGAGCCCAGGAAGAAAGCGGGAGGCCCGCCGGGAAAGAGAGGCGGGACGCGGGAGGGGAACGGCGAGAGGCTCCGGGGAGGCCGGGAGAGCTGGTCCTCCGCCAGGCCCGGCCGCTGCCCGGCCCCGGCCCGCACTTACTGTCGCCGCCGAGCCACCACCGCCGCCTCCGGGCCTCCCCGACTGGGGCTAAAGGGGCGGATGGGGGCGGGGAGAACGCAGGCCGGGCCCGCCCCGCCCCGCCCCGCCCCGCCCCGCCCCGCCCCGCCCCGCCCCGCCAGCGCTTCCGGGTTCTCCGCTTTGGTCTTCTCCCCCGCGTGTTCGAGGGCGCCCCCTCCTGGCGATACCCGGAACTGCAGGCGCTCTTCTCCGACTCATCTCAGCCGCCACTGTGTGCCTCGAGGCCCAGGAAAACTCCCCTCCCCTCCCCTCTCAAGACCGGCTAGACAGCGCCATCGACCTGCAGCCCCATCCCTCCTTGATTCCCGCCCCCACAACTCAGGGCAGGATCCATTTTCAGGCTAAGGTGGAGGGAGACTCAGCTTGAGGCACCGTTAGTGGCAACCAACGAGCCCAGCCTCCCCCCGCCCCCCTGTGGATCCCAGCTCGCAGGAGCATGGGCTCACTCCAAACTCGACCTGCAGAAGGATAAAAGACTTTATCGAGGGTCCTAGGAATTGCAAGGGGAGACTCAGACACAGCTCGTAACGATGTTCCAAAGGAGGAAAGTGCGAGTCTCTCTGAGCTGATGGTATTGTGTGGCAAGGCACGGGATGAAGCTGCTGTGGAAAAGCGTGCTGTGTGATGGTTAGAAACTAAGGAAAAGCACAGATGGACTCAGGGAAATGTGGGTCAGACAAGAGCTGGGAAATGCACACACACACACACACACACACACACACACACACACACACGGAGTGTGGGGGAAGCCTGTCATAGGACCAGGAAAGGCCAGGTTTGTTGGTTATATTTCAATGGCCCCTTCTATTGGGCCCCTTTGGGCCCTTATGTCAGAGGACAGACTCCTTACAAAGGAAGATTTCTTTTACAGATTATAAAGTTTCTTTACAAAGGGCAACACTTCGTTTCCAAGCCTTTCCTGTATCTTTTGTTTTTCACCAATCTCTTATGCTAAAGGGGAGCTTTGGGGTGGGGGGTTGCATGTTCTGGCATCCTGCAGTCCCGGTTTAAGATAGGCTGCCCTGACCTCCATCAGCGCCACGGACCTTGGGGTCCCTCACTCTGTCTCTGGGATAGTTGGGACATCGTAGTTGAGCAGTGGGGATGACAGTCACCACAGGCAGCTGGCACTGTCAGGGTGAGGGCACACATCTGTAAATGGTTGTTTAAACACACTGGAAAGAAGAGGAGGAAGAGGAGGTAGAATGATGAAGGTAAGGAAGTCCAGAAGAAAGAAGGAGGCCTTTAAGTCTTCCTAGCACTTTCTAGAGGTTGACATTTTATAATCAACTTCTATTTAGGAAAGCCCCAAAAGGATAATTTGTACTTTTCAAAAAACAAAGTGTATGGTGCCATCTTGTGGCCAAATCCAGTCATTGCATATGTTCACGGCTGTGCTCCCTGGCTAGGGTCTTTCTTTTCAGGGTTGCAAAGGAACATTTATCCTGGGAAGTACATCTCTTTCATAACTCTTCTTCCTCATTACCAATTCTTTTCTTTTTTCTTTTTTGGTGCCAATTCTAGGGCTTGAACTCAGGGCCTAGGCACTGTCCTTGAGCTTTTGTGCACAAGGCTAGTGCTCTTCCACTTAAGCCACAGCTCCACTTGCAACTTTTTGTTGATTAATTGGAGATAAGAGATTTTTCTGCCTGAGCTGGCTTTGAACTGTGATACTCAGATCTCAGCATCCTCAGTAGCTAGGATTACAGGCATAAGCTACTAGCACCCACCCACACTTGGCCTTGATCTACCATTTTATGTTCTTTAACTTCATCAAATATCCCTATATGTACGGTGTGTTTCTTGTAAATGGCATATACATGTTTTCTTTTAAATTAAAAATCCATTTTACTTGAAATCTTTTGTCTATTTAAACAATATAATTATTGGTAGATATGATGGAATAAACTCTACTGCCTGTTCCTCTATTAACACAGTTGGTCCATGTTCCTTTTTTCCCTCCTTTTTTTTCATTGCTTTTGGTTGATCAATTTAAAACTTATTAATTTCTCACATTAATATGCTTAACATTCGCTAGAGATTCTAATTTTCCCATACATGGTCACCCAGACTCTAATTAACCAATTACAGATTCCCCACTCTCCTAGGCGGCTGCAAACAGTTCAGTTCCCATACGCTCTGCTCCACCTTGTTTTACTGTTGTCATACAATTTAATACTACATTATTTTAAAACTCACAGATTATCCAAATGCCTGTGGCTTGCACCTGCAATCCTCACTACTCCAGGTTGAGATCTGAAGCTCAAAGCCAGCATAAGCAGGAAAAATCTATGAAAGTCTTATCTTCAAACTAGCAAAAAGCTAGAAGTGGAGCTGTGGTTCAAGTTGTAGAACACCAGCCTTGAGAAAAGAAAGCTAAGGGACAATGCCCCAGGACTGGTACAAAACAAAACAAAAACTTACAGATTCACCTTTCCTCTTTCACTATTATTATAATTATAATTATTTTGATTATGAATGTTGACATATCTAGAAAGTTTTGACTGAATGTCAGACATTGTAAATGAAAACCAATGCCTTATGGCAAGTGGAACCTTGTGAAATTTCCTTAAAGTGGAGGTCCCAGTTGCTAAGAGCTGTGGGAGTCAATGCGGGCTGAGACTTGAGGCACACTTCTGTATTGGATGCTGAAGCTGCTTTTCTTGCTCATGTCACCAGCAGCCTGGAGCTGTGAGACCTTGGTTTTGATCTTTAGCCTATGGACAAAATTCTGAGTCCCAGCTTTTGTAGGCCAACTCCACCATAGGGAGCACACTTATGCACTCTCAGACTACCAGCCATTGATCTAACACTGGACTTTGTGGCTCGGTACTTGTGATGGTGCTGCACTCTTTATACTGCCTGCACACCTGCATAAAGGCTGCCATCTTTCTGGGTGGTTGAAAGGCCCTCCTTCTCCCTTCCTGTTCTGCTGTCTCTGTTGGCAGCCGTTTGTCCTGATAGGTCACAGTGGGATCTCAGTTTTTATTTCACCTTAGCTGCTCAGAGCTAAATCCAGCCTGCTCCAGCCTACCCCACCCCAACATGCTATCACTGAGTAAAATCAATAAATACTGGTGGATTTCCAGGGACCACAAGCCCTCTTTTGGAGAAATTTCTTGGGCTAAGGCACTGGAATAGGCAGACATTCAGGCCACCCACAATGATGCTATGGGTGAACAGCTTCTCAGGGCTGCTGGAATAGCAAGGACTCAAAGTGCTCCCTCTTCACACTGTCCCCAATCTAAGTTAGGGTCATCAAATTATACACACCTCTGAATAGAACTAGGGACCACTGAAGCACTCCTGGCAAGACAGCTGCCTTCCTGTCCAGCCTGTATCCCCAGAGGATGGCTGGGTGATAGCTATTCTAGGTCCCAGGAAGTCAGAACTGGCAGGGCTGCTAGCACCACAGATTTCTTCAGGCACCTCAATTAATGTGGCCTTCCTTAAGAGGGAGTTGCCAGAGCCTCCCAGCAAGCTTACTGGCAACCAAAACTCTCAGCAGGTGTATACCAGCAATGCATGCTGGGAGATGTAGTTCAAACTCAGACTATACTAGGAGGCCCAAGGTCCACAGAGTAGAGGGGACCATAAGGCAGAAAGGGTTACTTCAAGTTATACAGTACCTTCTTGTCTAATAGGCACAGTCCTATTAGACACACCCCACCCCTAGATACTTGCATCTGTGGGAAAATTATCAGCAATATTGCTGTTAATTAGAACAAGACTATTTATTACTGCCTGCTGGAAACAGCTCATAGTGAATACATGTCTATGATAGCCATGGGAATGTTGCCACCCTCCTCCTTGCATGTAATTGCTCAGCAGGAAACCTGCACAACCATGCCTGGTAGACCTGGTTCATTGTTCCTCTTTATGCCTACATGACATTCCCATGGCCTAGAAGAGGGTTCTGAAAGACCCCTCCCCTCCCCCAGCCTCAGCTCCTATGGGAAACACCCATCCTACCTTGGAGGCTGGCAGGCTGGCCTCCTGAACACAGGAGTCAATTGCATACACACTCATGCCGGGAGAGCACTGGTTCATGAGCAGATCCAGACTCAGCCTAGCCCTTCCCTTGTTATATGACTACAAGGAAATCTGTCTTCCTCTCTGGGCTGCTTTTTCTTTTTGTGGAGTGAGGCTGTTAAGCTATGAGACCACTGAATGAGTGATACCCAGGCACCTGGAGTATGCAGAACAATCATTCTCAATGGCCATTATGAGCCAAGACAACAGGCTACAACCTGGAATTTTTTTTATTAGACTAGGAAATATAATTTATTTCATAAAAATTAATCTTGTTACAATAGGAATGCTAAATGGTATTTACAGGTTGTAGTTTACAGAATGAACAGAGGTGGGCTTGAGGCCATCTCTAGAGTTCTGTAGCCCCTGAACATATAATCATATGCATGGCCCAGCTCCCCAGCACCTGACCCCACAGAGCCTGGCTCAGCTGCCTGGGAGCTGGGGGACAGGGACCAGAGGACCCTGGACTGTGCAGGGATGAGGAGCCCCATGTCCTTGGCTGTTCCAGGCAGGGCTGGGGTTCCAAAGCCTGGGCACCAAGAGAAGGCAGGAGAGGCACGTAGGAGATACACTGACTGACCCTGTGGCCTCAGGGAGGGCAGGTGTGCAAACCTGGCACCGAGGAGTCTACACCCCCACACCCAGATAGGGACACATGCCCAAGGAGGAAAGCACAGGTGTACATGAGGCAAAACACACACACACACACACACACACACACACACACACACACACACATGCACACACACACACAGAGCAGTCTCATGGCACCTTTGCTACTACTGGCCAAAAATGGCTGCTGCTCCCCAGATGATACAAGGGACTTCTATCCACTCAGGACACTGAGGTGCGGTCCCCTGCAGCCTGGGTGATGGGATTAGCAAATGTTCTTCTTATCAAGCTGGGTGTTCCCCTCCCCCTAGGACTCCAGTCCAGTGGCTCT